AAGCCGTCTAGGGCACCAACTTATTTCTCTGAAAACTGGAAAATAAAGTTTGAGCTCTATTTCAGGTAGACAAATTGTTGATGAGACAAAGTTCTTTATAGAAGGATTTTTTTCTAATAAGTAAAAAAGACGTGTTCAAGAAAACTGTTGAGGGCCGGCCCCGTGGCTTAGTGGTTAAGTGTGTGCGCTCTGCTGCTGGCGGCCCAGGTTTGGATCCCGGGCGTGCACCGATGCACCGCTTCTCCGGCCATGCTGAGGCTGCGTCCCACATACAGCAACTAGAAGGATGTGCAACTATGACATACAACTATCTACTGGGGCTTCGGGGAAAAAAAAAGGAGGAGGATTGGCAATAGATGTTAGCTCAGAGCCAGTCTTCCTCAGCAAAAAGAGGAGGATTAGCACGGATGTTAGCTCAGGGCTGATTTTCCTCACAAAAAAGAAAAGAAAAGAAAACTTGAATATTAGGTAGAAGGCTGATGGGGAAGCGTAATGGATGGATCAGACTGAACACCTGAGCCCACTGGTCAATCAGTGTCACAGAAGGAGAGAATATGGGCCTCCTAATGCAATAAGGAAGTCTACAACCATCCATGAAATGCTCTTTCCAAAAAAAAGTCAAAGCTGTATCTGATCAAGCCTAGAAATAATGACCAGTTCTTAGAAAGTACAGGGGACAGGGGAAAACAAAGACAAGCATGATTGCAGCCAACCAAATCCAGAGTTTGGCTAATTCTGTAGGATAGATGCCTCCGTTTATTCACCAAATAAATGGTAAAGGAAGAAAGAAGGAACCATAGATGAAAAGAGATCTATCAACAAAGTGGATCATGTGGAGACCTTATTGGGATCTTGATTTGAATAATCGTAAAAAGACATTTATGGACCAATTGGAGAAATTTGAACTCGGACGAAATATTAGGGAAAATTGCTATCATTATGGTTTTTTGTTTTTAAATTTTTTATTTTGAGATCATTGTAGAAACGCATAGTGTTGTAAAAAGAGTTAGATCCTAAGTACCCTTTACCCCATTTTCCCCAGTGGTGACATCTTGCAAAACTATTGTATAATATACAGTAATACAATATCAGTATACAGTCAAGATACAGAAGGTTTCCACTGCCACAAGGATTTCTCCTGTTGCCCTTTTGGGGCTACGTCCACTTCCCACCCCTACCCCCACCTTAACTCTGGCAACCACTAATGTGTTCTCCATTTCTTTAATTTTGTCTTTTTAAGAATGTTAAGTAAATGGAATCACATACTGTGTAACCTTATGGGACTGGCTTTTTTCACTCAGCATAATTCTCTGGAGATTTGTCTAGGTTGTTGTGTGTATCAATAGTTAGTTCCTTTTATTGCTGGGTAGTACTTGTAGTTGTTATAAAAAGAGGTAATCACTTTGCAGTATATACATATATCAAATCATTACGTTGTATACGTTAAACTTACCCCATATGTCAATTATATCTCCATAAAGCCGGAGAAAAAAATCTCCGTTGTAAAATCAACAATAAAATACAATGCCAGGTAATAAAATATTTCACTCTATTGTAAGGAAAAAAAAGCCCTTATCTCTTAGAGATACTCTAGGATTTTCAGATGAAATTATTTAATGTCAGGATTTGCTTTAAGATAATCTGAGGGAAGATAATAAATGAATCATGATTTCTATATATTACTAATTTTTGAAGCTAGATGATGGGTAGATGGGGTTCAGTATACTATTCTGTCTGCCTTTGGAGTGTTTGAAGTTTTTTATTATAAGAAGTTTATAGCAATATGAGCCCCTTATTTTGAGAGATGGAGCTAGCTACAAGAACTAAAAAATGGAACCAATAAATAAATAAACAGGGGTAGGGAAGTATATGCTTTCTCTCATAAGCTTTCCTGTACAATTTGATTTGTTGCTGTGTACATGATTTATTTTTAAAGCTACTCTCAGAAAACAATTTAAGTAAGTCTTAATTGTGGAAATAAAACAAAAGATGAGTGTTTACTCCTGTTTCATGACCTCCTTCACCGTATGAGAAGAAATGTCGGTGATTCTGGAGTAAATGGAGTCACTTTAGGGTAATACCTTCAGTTGTCCTTTGTATCAAGTCATAAAGCAGCATAACTGTTTCCAGGTCACCCAGCTTCTCTAGGATTCCAATCACATGAGGCTTCTTTTGTTTCTTACAGTATAAGCAAGGCTTTTTTTGTATTGGAGTAAATTCAAATTTTTATAAGGTTATAGCCTTTGAAATGAAACCTTCTCATGGGTAAGAGAAGCACTGTTAGATTTATTTCCATGACAGTCTACAGGTGCTTTAATCTTTTCTTTTCATTCTGGGTGGTATACTTCTGTTGGCACATGACTGTGAAAAAACAATATATTAGTCTTTCATCATGTTTAGTACATTTTATAAAGTTTAACTGTGCTTCTTTCTAGTTTTACATTCATTCATTCTTTCAGTCGTTTGTGTTTGTTGAGAAGTCACTCACTGTTTTAGGTGCTGGAGACATTTTATATAAACAAAGATTTCCAAAATCCTGCTAAAAGAGGATTTTCCTTGTCTATGAATCAGAGACTCTTCTAGATTACATTGACCATAGTGTATTAACTGACCGTGTGGGGCTTATGTCACACAGTAATACTAAGAGCACAATTTGATACTAAAAATATTCTTCCCCATATCAATTCTCAAGGTAGTAGGAAGGAATTTAAAAGAGCAAGAACAGCTAACACATAGCTCTTACTATGGAGTCAAGCCCCATTTTAACCATTTCACGTTATGTTGCCTTATACCACAGCTTTCTGTGGTGTGTGCTACCATGATTCCTGTTTTGCAGATGAGGGGAATGAGGCGCAAAGAGCTGAGGTAACTTGCCTAAGATTATAAAGCAGTTAAGTGACCGAGTCAGAATTTGAACCAAAGGCACCTGGCAGCAGAAGCCAAATGTTTCTGTTTTGCAACTCATCTGTGGAGCCCAAATGAAGATTTTTCTTTTGGCTCCCACTTCCATTGACCAAGCTGTCATTTCCCCAGCTGTTCCATAGAATGTCAACAGATGTTCCATGAAAAAATGTTTCATGAAAAAATATTTAACCCAGCATTTTTCTAATGTATATTGAGATTATTTATACTGAAGACTTCTCAGAGAGTCTAATGTTAAGTGTATGTTGTAAATCACCAAGAGGAGCATTTATCTTGTACAGTTCTAAAATTATTTTTCCATGGAATGTTTTGTTTTGTTTTTACAGGATATCTATAGATATCTCAAGGAACATACAGTTCTGTGCCATTTCTGTACTCTTGAATATCATCCACTCTTTCACACCATTAGTTTCTCTGCTGTAACCCAAATGATCATTGTCAAATGTAAAACCAAACGTTATCACTCCCTAAATCACCATGCAGAGAGCCCTCGTTGCTTTCAGGCTCATACTCATTGCATACCAAGGCCCTGCTTGCTTTGTTGGCTGCTTCTGCCACTTCTCCGTGGGTCCACCAACTATACACCGCTACTTACAGCTCTTTCTCTGTGCTGTGCTGCCTCACTAGAGCTGTTGCGTATGCCCTTCTCTTTGAAAAGCCCTTCTGCACCACTCCCATAATCAGCCGAAACAATTCTCACTTGTTTAAGATTTGACTTAGACATGACATTTTCTGTGGAGACTGTCTTGAAAACCTCCTGTAGGCCAGGTACCCGTCTTCTCCGTCCATGTAGAGTCTGTCAGGGTATGCGTGTATCACAGTTACTTGCCGATAGGCTGTTGAGCTCCCTAAAGACCACACCCTGTCTGTTTTTGTCTCATACCTAGCGAGTTATGACTTGCACAGAGCAGGTTCTTAATAAATATTTGAATGAATTGCATTTTCTGGAAGCATTAATTGTTAAAAATGTGTTCCTTATGTTGACCTACAGTCTGATTCTCTCCAGTATTATCACATGGAATGTATTTCATTCTTTTTGCTCCTTAACAGTCTATTATTTCAGTATAGTTTTTGAGTTTCTCTCAGGTCTTTACCATATGACACTTTTTTTTTTTTTAACATAGAACGTTAGTTCTCAGTTGCTGATGTGGCAGTAATAGAATACTGCATTCCAGGTATTAAAGAAGTTAATACTGCATTCAAGATATTATTAAAGCAGCTTTAATTTTTATAGAAACCCACCTGTTTTCCATCAATTGTTACCAAACTTTTGTCCCTCATTTTCTATTTGTGCTTATTAAAATCCATCTTATTTTGACCTATTCTTTTTTGTTTTGTTTTGTTTTTTGGTGAGGAAGATTGGCCCTAAGCTAACATCCATTGCCAGTCTTCCTCTTTTTGCTGAGGAAGATTGTCCCTGAGCTAGCATCTGTGCCCATCTTTCTCTATTTCGTATGTGGGACACCACCACAGCATGGCCTGATGCGTGGTGCATAGGTCCAAACCTGGGATCCAAACCAGTGAACCCCGGGCCACCAAGGCAGAGCCTTGAACTTAACCACTATGCCGCTGGACTGACCCCTTGACCTATTCATTTCAATATTGATTAAATCATCTCTTATTTGAAGCAGCTCGGCTAGTTTTGTGTTATCTTCAAATTTTACATACACACCTGTTGTTTCTTCATCCAGGTCTGTTAACAGAAAACAGTCCCACATAGCTTCCGGCAGATGACTCATTCTAGGCTGATCCTGAGTCATCCTAACTGCATCCTAGTTACAGATATCTCGCGTCTGAAGTCTGTCCAGCTCTACAGCATCTAATCTATTTTTCACTTGTCTAGAACTTATTTTGGCAAATGCTTTGTGGAAATAAGAACGTTAGCTACAATTTGTAAATCGAGTTCTGCTTCATATTTTGACTGTGTAAGCTACCTAGCCCCCTGCCCCTGAGTCAAATTCTAAAATTTTAAATGAAATAACTGGTCTTAAGGTTTTCTGTAAAAATTAGTTGAAGGCTCAAAATCATACTTGGTGCTATATCTTTCTCAATTACAGTGTTTTAACACATTTTCTCAGGTTTTAAAAAGTTGCAGAAAGAAGAAAGGAAAGGGAAAGAAAAGTGTTCAGAAGTCTTTATATGGGGAAAGAGAGATTGCTTCTAAGAAGCCGCTCCTAAGTCCTATTCTAGAGCTGCCGGAGGTCTCTGAGATGACGCCTTCGGGTCCAAGCGTCCGGAGGATGTGCCGAGGTATCCTGTCCTTCCTCTTGTTTACATTGTATCTCTTCTCTTCACCCTCTTTGTTGCAATTTCACTTTTTTTCCTTCTTCCCCATTTACTATGTAAATAGGACCTAAATAAAAAAAAACTTTTCCTCAGATTATCATGAGAATTTTAAGTTAAGGAGGTAACTTTTAGGTCACCTAGACCCTTTTCAGAATCTGTTGGATGCTCTGGATTCTCCCCGCAGAGAAACTCAGACACAAGATATTACATATAGTTTTAGGGGAAATAATTTTCTTTCATGCTGTTCCTTTTTGCTTTTTAAAAAAGCATTTTGTTAAAGTAAAATGAATTCTATATGCTGCTGTAGTCCATCATTCAAAGTGAACAAGCTGATGGCTCAGTAGTAGATGTATCTTCTATGAATTAGGGACAGCAATTAAACAAGCCTTGCCCTGTGATGTTTCGGTAGATTTGGCACTACTGAGCATCTTCTAGAAATAACATTTATAAACTGAACTTGATTACCTTGATAATTTTGTTTAAAAGTGAAGATTAAGTTGGTTGACATTATGGTTAGGAAAAAATTGGATTGAGTTGTATCTGGTTTGTGATGCCTGAGTTTTAAATTGACTAAATCATGCTAAAAATAATGAGTATGTCAATTTTGTATAGAATCCTTTAAAAAATAGCTGCCTTTGTCAATCATTAAATATTTATACCCTGCATTCTATTTGCAATATGCTGAATCTATTTACAATAGATGCATGTACCAATGAATATGGTACATGTCACTGTAGACTCTTGGCTTCCGCCCACTTCTTAACCTCAGGAAAACACCAAAGTTTAAGCAAACATACCTCCACCTTATAGTCGTGCACATGCTCCTGCAGCCCCTGGGCACCAGTAGGGACAGTGCTCTCCCACCCCAGCCTTTTCCTGTGGTTCGTCTTGGGGCAGGGGCTCGGCCACCCCCCTTCGTTTGAATCTGGCCCAGTGCTCAAGGCTGCTTATCCTTTCAGGTTTAGCTTGTGCTGGCTGCCTTTCCAGGAAAATTCTTTGTTCAAATTACACCTTCACCACCTGGTTTATAATGATCTGTCCACCTCCTTCCCCTGCAAATTGCAGTGCCCTTGAGACTGGAAACTAAGTCTTATTTTCATTATCTCCCCAGTTCCTAACAGGAGTTTTTCCAAAGATGTTGAAACGATAAGTGTTAGTGTGTATTTTCCATCTTGCATCTCATTAGAGAATTTCTTTTTAAAAATAGCTGAATCATTCTTTATCTATATAAGCCACGGTAATATCTGCTACAAGAGTTTAAAGCAGTTTCCCTCCTCTCCATCTTTGTCTTTTTTTCCTCCCTCCATCCCTCTCCCCTACCTTCCTTTCCTAGTATGTTAGTTTCATGGAAAATACATAAATGTCAATTTTTAAAGTTGTGTAAAAAGCCTGACTGACATATAGTTGGTTGGTGGTGTGTGGACCAACCCTGCCCTGTGTTAATCTCTAGCTGTACACGAGAGGGTTTCCAGTGCCCAAAGCGTGGATAGTGCCTTTTCAAATTGAAACATTGTTTTTTAAATTTTTGGCTCAGCTTATGCTTTGTATATCTTCCAGTTTTTATTTTGTTTAAAACATTTTTATACTCTTTTGGCCAATTAAAAACTTTATCTGAGATAACAAGACAGATGGCCTCTAACAGAACTCAGATTTAGAACTCATAGAGCCTGAATTCATTTAGGCTCTCTCTCGTACCAATTCTAAAAACCTCCGTGATACTTTTTCACCTGTGATGTGGCCCTGTGTGCCCAAAACACACGATAGGCTACACTCGCGTATCTTCTAATGAATTTGTCAGAGATTGAGGTGGAAGGGGGAGATTTTTAGAATATTGAAACAAACATGGCTTTATTTGAGAATACAGTACGGTTTATATTAATTTTTTAACATAAGGCCTAAGACCTGAGTGTCTTCAGGAAGTACCCTTTTATCTAAGTCCTCAAATCTCCCAGAATTCCATGTTTTGTCTCCACTATTTCAGGGGAAACGTTGATAGAAAACTTTCAGAAGCATGATGTTGCCCATTTTCAGTAATTCATTTTTAGGGAAATGGGAAACATGGCTGCCTCATGCTCACTGACCTTGTAGTGTGGAAAATACATTAGAATAGAGGAAGCAATTTAGGATGCAGTTCTCATTTTCATGGTCTGAGGTTATGTGCTTTATTAATTCATGCATTAAATACATATTTTCTTAACCTGTGGGTTGGGGAAGAACTGAAAGAGAGGACAAGGACGGATGAGGGCAAGTGCAGTGCAGCATTTGTAGGTCTTGTAAGTTTTGAAAGTTTAAAGCACAGAACACAAGATGGCACCTGTTTGATTTGTTAAAATTTATTTCCATTGCTGCTTTTTAATTAGATTTAACCTTATTTACATGCCCATAGATGATTTCAACTCAAATGGTGAACTTGAAGAAGTGAAGCTTGCTAAAAGAAAGACTCTCTTGCTTCAGAACCCAGAAGATTTGCAGATGAATCAAGGCTTTAATAAGTACCATGTATCTGAATTCTGCAGCTCTTACATAAAAAGTTCTTCATTGCTTGTTAATGCTACTTTTGATCAAGATTCAGATATAAATACTCCAGAAATTAATGACAATAAAAATATTTCAAAAGCAGAAATAAAGTTGGAAAGTCAAAATGAACGAAAAACTGGGACTGAGAATGGAAATAGTCATGTTTCTTGTGCTTCTGTGATTGAAAAACCCATTGTATCAGATAATCCAAAGCCTGATTTTATCCTGCAGTCCCAAGAATTTTCTGCTTCTGGTCAAAATGTGGAAAACCCTTTTCAAATATTTAAAATTTTAGAAGATATAAACATAAAATGTGAAAAACCAGATGATTTCTTAGTAGCTACAGAAGGAAAACTGCAGACCAAGCATTTAATGTCTGACTTACAAAAAGAATGTGATTGTTCAGAAGCTGTCTTAATTGACATTACAAAAGAAAGTAAAAATCAAAGTGAGGATTTGGGAAGAAACTCCGCAGAAAGTAGTGGTGTGAATTGTAGAGCAAGGAAACAGAGAAGACGCTCCATGTATTATTCTGATGGTCAGAGTTTACATTTGGAAAAAAAGGGAAGTCACAAAGCGTCCTGCAGTATGAGCAGCTCTGCAGAAATTAGTTTAGGAAATTCTGAACTGTACAAAGATTTATCTGACTCCATAGAGCAAACCTTTCAGAGAACAAATAGTGAAACAAAAGTAAGACGCAGCACAAGGCTCCAGAAGGATGTGGAAAATGAAGGGCTTGTGTGGATTTCACTTCCATTTCCTTCCACCTCCTGCACTTCTCAGAGAACCAAAAGGAGAACAATATGTGCAGTTGATAGCAGAGGATTTGAAAGCGTGTCCTTCAGACAGAAACCGTGTACGCCGCCCTCCACATCAGGTAGAGAAAACAGTGAGGGCTTTGCTGGAAGTTCTCCTTTACCTGGGAACAGGAGGAAAAGCTTTTGTACATCTACACTTGCAAATACTGAAAGCACTACTCAGTCAAAATGCTACAAAAGAAGATCCTTCCTCCGGCAGAAGGAAGAAAGCCCTCTAAATGACGTGGAGAGAAGTGGACATACTGGAGAACTAAAGCAGTAGCTGACACTTCCTGCAGAGCATCTGGCAAGAGGGAAGGTACCGTCCATGCTTAAAAGATTCTTTCATTCTGCTTCCCGTCCTCTGTTCAACTTCAGTGTTTTAAAAGTTTCAAATAAATAAAATCATTTGAGTTGAACCTACTCTTAAGCAGAAATAAGTGAATTTCTTCATTCAAAAAGAAAACATTCTATTGAATATGTTCCCCCCCAAATGGTAAATGTTTTATTAGTATTTTGCTAAAAGGAATTTTTAGACCCAACAAACGTCTCTTAAGTTTTATTTCATGCTAGTATACATGTACCACTAACGGTTTAGAGTCTGTTGTAAAAAAACAGCTTTTAGAATTGACTTGTTCTATCTGGATGAGAAGAGGTTTTTTTTTTTAAAAAAAGACAAATGAATAGAATTAATGTACATTGAAAAATGTTAAAGTGGGGTGAGATGTATTTTTATTGAAAAATACTGCAAAGAAAAACGGTTAAAGAATTTAAACAGGTAGGAAAGATGGAAATTATAGAACTTGTTTTCCCTTTGGGTTAAAGTTAAGAGAAGCTTTAATGACTTAATTTATCTGTCTCAAATGAAATTTTTATTTTAATAGATTAAAATCAAATCTTAAACATGGAATTTTGAAAATTCTTTCAATAACCTGAATATTATAAATCTATAGTTAAAAGCATTTTTTTTCCTTCAAGCAAGATTCTTACATGCTTTGTGGAGTGGGAGGTGGGGGATTGGTTTTTGGTGAAAATATAGCAGTTTAGTTGAAGACTCACTTCCCAGATTATTCAAATTAGTCACAGGTAATTTGGGATTTAATTCATGGTTCTTCATAAAAAAATTTTAAATCCAGAAAATCACTCGAAGGGGCCCTAGAAAATTAGATATTACTAACATGAAGCATGGTGGTGGGTCACTGATTTCTTTAACATGGCATTTTCCAGCATTTCTGACTTTTTATTTCATAATATCAAGTACTGTTGGTTGTCTCACATTTTGTAGGTAAGCTTCAGCAATATATCACTGTTTTGGTGATAGCAGTTTGAAAATCTAAATTGCTATATATCTGGAATTTGTGAATGTGCATAAATCATTGTGTCATTAAACAATTGTCTTTGAAATCCTTTAAATCATTAAACTCTCCCTCTCCATGATAGCAGAAACATGTTAACAAATAGAGCTCTCTATAAATAACACAACAGGGAAGAAAGCTCCTGCTGAGCCCCCGTTTCCCCCTCCTTAGATACAGACTATTTGTTACCTTCTTGGCACCAATAGGTCTGGAATTCCTGCTGCTCAAGACTAATGTATTTTACATTAACACGTGAAGTGATCCCCAATTTCTTCTGCTATAAGGGTGGATTGTTTAAAAAATTCTTTTATCTTTACACGTAACTTATTTATGGACTTTTTTTCTCGTTTATAGTTTGATGTTGTTGGCAAATCTCTACCACTGAAAAGAAACCAAAAAAAAGAATAATTAATTTATGAAGCTTTTTGGTTTTGGTGATTTAAAGAGGAAAAAAACACTTGCAGAAACGTAGGAGGTTAGAGGGCTTTGTGTTTTTGTTTTAATTTTTATATTTCTCTTTTGTTTAACTTGAAGGCTAAAAACTATTGATTGTTGTTTTCTCCCCTTTTTATTGTATAATGATATATGATCTCAGTGTATTTGAATTTTAAGAATTTCACATGCTTTGTTTTATTTCTCAAAAAGTGCTAATGAGGATGAAGGAAACATTTTGATCTGTGATTTTTTGGCTTGATTTTTCAAATGTATAATTGTTCTCATTTTCTAGCATCTGTAGTTAAAAATATAAACACTTTACAAGTTCTGTTGATTTCAAAATGTTTCAGTATAAATGTTCTGTTGATATTTGTAAATAACAAATAGGCAATTTTCCTAAAAAGAACAGGTCTGAGAAATCAAAGCAGCTTGGATGTGATTTATCCACCGTCTCCTTTATATCATAAGATTTGTGAAAAGTGCATGATTTCTGTATTTGATCATGCTTGATTGTATTTAACTGTTTCTTTTCAGTAATGGTCAAATCAAAAACTTGGCTTCAGAAGAGTTTTTCTGCCTCCCTTACCTTTTTTACTGCAGTAACCCTTGACATTTTGCCTTAGAATGTCTACTTACTTTTCCTGCTCCTGTAGATTCTTGTTTGTTCCAGAAGATGGCAGCATGACATCTGAAGTTTTTGTCCTGTAGGCATTACCTTAAAGCCAGGGCAGCTCTTCCCTGTTGCTGGGGATGCTTCCCGTTAACTTTTACTTTTACTCATTTTTATTATAAGTGTAATATGTGTCTATTGAAAAGAGTAGAGAACTGTACAAAATTAAAAACTGTCTTCCCTTAACACCATGTCAGCATTCTTCCTGCAGCCACACTTTCCTCTCCCCAGCTTTCTATGTGTTAACATTGTTAATAACTGTGCGGGGCCGGCCCTGTGGCTTGGTGGTTAAGTGCGCGCGCTGCAATGCTGGTGGCCCGGGTTCGGATCCCGGGTGCACATCGAGGCACCACTTCTCCGTCCATCCTGAGGCCGAGTCCCACATACAGCAACTAGAAGGATGTGCAGCTATGACATACAACTATCTACTGGG